GGACCTCATTGTCTATATCTCCATCACCATTTTGGTCAAAATCATTCAAAAAGTCTCTAGGAAGTTCCAGATTTTCCCACATCTTGTTGTCTCCTTCTGAATCTTCCAAACTGTTCCATTACTCACTTCCAAAGTTGCTTCCACAGCTTCAAGTATCTTTATAGCAATGCTCCACTTATCTCACTACCAATCTTCTGTATTAGTCTGTTTTCAAACTACTTTAAATAACTACCTGAGACTGAGTAATTTATAAAATAAAGAAGTTAATTGACTCACAGTTTCATGTTGCTGGGGAAGCCTCAGCAAACAATCATGGCAGGAGAAGCAATCACCTTTTTTACAAGACAGCAGGAGAGACATTGGGGGGCAGGAGAAGTGCCCCACTTTTATTTAAACCATCTTATCTCCTGAGAACTCAATCACTATCGTAAGAACAGGATGGGGGAAACCACCCCCATGACCCAATCACCTCCCACCGGGTTACTCCCTTGACATGTAGGAATTACAATTAAGGATGAGATTTGAGTGGGGACACAGAACCAAACCATATCACTACTTCAATCTCTTTATTTGCTGTTGTTGTTTTTCAGGCTTTTTATTTATGTCTGATTTAATCTTTGTAGATTGTATTTTGCTAGGAATTTATTCATTTCCTCAGTTATTGAATTTGTTGGCATATAACTATTCATAATAGTCCCTCATGATCCATTCTTTTCCTAAGATGTCAGTTGTAATGGCTCCACTTTCATTCATGATTTTATTTTACTCTTCCCTCTGTTTTCTTAGTTAGTTATGCTGATAGTTTGTCAATTTTGTTTATTTTTCAAAATGCCAACTTTTATTTTTGTTAATTTTTCAATTTTTTTCTACTCTTTATGGGATTTATTTCTGTTCTGACTTTTTAAATTGTTTCCTTCAGATAATTTTGGGATTTTTTTCTACTTTTTTAAAAAAATGTTGTTTTTTAAGGAATAATGTTAGGCAATTTGTTTTAGATCTGGATCTGATCCCCACAGGCCACAAGTACATGTTACTACATTATTATTTTATATATTATATCATGTGTCCTAGTGTCTTAGCTGCAACTTAAAGAATATACCATTAGGCCAGGCACAGTGACTCATGCCTATAGTCCTAGCAGTTTTGGAGGCTGAGGCAAGCAGATCACCTGAGACCAAGAGTTTGAGACCACCCTGACTAACATGGAGAGACCCCATCTCTACAAAAAAAAAAAAAAAATTAGTTGGGCATGGTGGTACATGCCAGTAATCCCAGCTACTTGGGAGGCTGAGGCAGGAGAATTTTCTTGAACCAAGGAGGTGGAGGTTGCAGTGAGCAGAGATTGTGCCATTATACTCCAGCTCCAGCCTGGGAAATAGGAGCAAAAGTCTGTCTCAAAAAACAAGCAAAAAACAAACAAACAAAAGAATATATGAATAGTTTCATACTTATCATCAGGGAACTTATAAAGGTAAAATTAACTAAACACAATGTAAACCTCTGCTCAAATATGACATACTGGAAAATGGGAAAACACCATATGCCATTGTGAAAGATATGGCCCTCATTACTCCAAGATACATCAATCACATATACTGGAAAATTAGAATATAGTTTCTCCCATTTCATGACTTCTGAAACTTCTCTACCTTGGCATGCGTGCTCAGCTCTCTAGTGGTTTACTCTGTGTTCAGGGAGTCCAAGGATTTACCAAATTGTCATCTTCCTTCCTCATCTTTTCCCAGGAGGTACTTTTCCCTATTAAGAAACCAACCTCAATCTTTCTTTCTCAAAGACAGGTGAACTTATTAGCATACAAATAAAGAAAATCTGTCTGATTATTTCTTTTTCTTCAGCATATTACTGACTACTTAATGCTAATTTCTGCCATCCTCTTCCTCTGCAATTTATTAACTCTACTCAAACTTTACTTTTTGATGGCTTTCTACTTGAGCATAGACACTCTTTGAAAATGTCAAAATGGACTGATAAGTTTACATTTCTGAGTCAATTTTCTTTTTGATTATGTATTTTCTAAATTAATTTTATATGTGTCACATAGCCCGTGACTTTTATTTATTTTCATATTTGAAAATATTTCATTGACAAAAATGTATATTTTTGAGGTGCACAGTGTGATAACTTTATATATGTATACATTCTTTAATGAGTACTAAAATAACATTAATTAGTACACCTGTTACCACCCACGGTTTGCCCTGCGTGTGTGTGTGTGTGTGTGTGTGTGTGTGTGTGTGTGTGTGTGTGTGGTGAAGACGCTTGGAATCTGCTCTTCCATCAAATTTCAAGTAAAAAATTTGATATTATAAACTGCAATCACCATGTGTTACACTGGATCCCCAACATGTACTCCTTCTATAATTAACCCCTCTGCTCTTCTTCTCTTCTAATACCATACCTGTCAAGTGAAGTTTTTCTCTCTTGCAGCTCAGGGTGACGTTAATGAAGCATACAAATGACATTAAGACACAAAATAGCGCTGGACACAGTGGCCCACACCCTTAATCCCAGCAATTTGGAGTCTGAGGCACTTGAATCACTTGAGGCTAGGGAGTTCAAGCACAGGCTGGTCAACATGGTGAAACCCTGCCTTTTCTAAAAATACAAAATTAGCTGGGCTTGGTGACACACGCCTGTAGTCCCAGCTACTTGGGAAGTTGAGGCACAAAAATTGCTTAAGCCTGGGAGGTGGAGGTTGCAGTGAGCCAAGATCACACCACTGTACTCCAGCCTGGGTCCAGACAGAGCAGGAGACTGTCTTAAAAAATAAAAATAAAAAGAGAGAGAGAGAATACAGAGACAGGCATGGTGGCTCAGCCTGTAGTCCCAGCACTTTGGGAGGCTGAGGTGGGTGGATCAATTTGAGCTCAGGAGTTTGATACCAGCCTGGGCAACATAGTGAAACACCATCTCTATGACAAATAAAAAAATAGGCTTGACATTGGTGGCTTGTGGCTGTTGTCCCAGTTATTTAGGAGGCTGAGATGACAGGACTGCTTGAGTGCAGGAATTTGAGGTTGCACTGAGTTATGGCTATTCTACTGCACTCCAGCCTGACCAGCAAAGGGAGATTCTATCTCTTAAAACAAGCAAGCAAACAAACAAAAATACAATACCTGATTCTAATACTTATTACCTTGGTAATCTCTGACAACCTACTTGCTTTATCTAGGTTCTACTTTATCATCTGAAATAAGGAACATATATATATATATAATTGCATTTTAGGTTTTGGGGTACATGTGAAGAACATGCAAGATTGTTGCATAGGTACATACATGGCAATGTGGTTTGCTGCCTTCCTCCCCATCATCTATATGTGGCATTTCTCCCCATGTTATCCCTCCCGAACTCCCCACCCCCTGCTGTTCTTCCCCTAGTTCCCCCCCACAGACCTCAGTGTGTGATGTTCCCCTCCCTGTGTCCATATGTTCTCATTGTTCAACACCTGCCTATGAGTGAGAACATGAGGTGTAGAACCTAACTCACAGAGCTGTTATGATGGCTAAATTAATTGAGACATGAAGAATCCCTAAAATATAGTACTCAGTAAGTGTGAGATATTATTATTACCTGGTAATTTATATGACCATCCTGAAAATTCATTTTCAGTACAACAACAATGTGGTAGTATTTATAATCACATGACAATACACCGTGCATTGATTCAGGTTTCTTTGGCTGCACATGGGATTTTATTTTATGAGGGTGAACTAAGGAAATATTGTAGACACTGACACTTTCAATAAAATCTTAGGAGTCCTAAAAAGAGTAAAGAAAATCAAAATACATAAGAAAGTTAATGAAAACAACCATGTTCAAAAGGGAAGGTAATGATATCATTACATACAGATCACACCTCGCTTGCATGTTGAAGGTCTGTAGCTGTCCAAGGACATCTGTAACAGCCAGCAGATAAATACAGTATGGTATAGTGTGTTTTATTACTTTTATTTGCTTTGTGCAGGTGGAACAATCAACTGATGGAATCAAACACTGAAGTCAATGAAAATATAGTGCATTCGATATAGTGCATATTGATAAAAATTATGAATTGTCAACTCAGTGGGAAAGAGACTATAAAGTTAATTCATCATAGAATGGTTCTCTTACCCAAAGATGTAAGAACAACTGGAACATAAATTTTGACCACAGATTATTGCTTTTTTTAGATAAAAAGGAGAAAATCCATGAAAAAAGGCAAGAACAACTAGAGGAAATGTATAAACCCGAGAGTTTCTATAGCTGTCTTCTAAACTTTATTATAAATGATATATCTACTCGTGTACACAGAATTGGCTGACTGAAATAATATCAGGTGCTCAGCAGAATACAGATTATTGAGCTACAAAGTTTGTTCAATTAACAGACTTATATGTATAAATAAAGACATTGATAAGGAAAAGGGGGATCCTAATGTTTGGTATAGTTATTATTCAAGCACATTTATAAGACATAAAATCATCACACATCATATAAAAGACCAGTATTAAATGCAGTGTCAAAATACACAAGCAATAAGTATAAAGGCTAAAACAGATGGAAAATGATTATATACAAAAAATACATTAAAAGAAACATACAGAAACAAACACACACACTGCAAATTTATTTCAATACTTAATAAACACACTAGAATCCTTGCCACTCCCTTCTGTAATGACTACTATTTCCCACTCCCACCCAGCATACTAGCTTTCCTTGTCTTCCATTTTTCTTTGCCTGTATCCATCTTGCACATCTTACTGTTATATAAAATGGACTTAGTGTGAATATAATTAATTGGTCCATCAAGGAAGGCAAAGATTTCTATTGTTTTTTTTTTCACTAATCTACATATAGCAATTAGAATTGTCTATCATGCTTTAGACATATGTAAATAAACATTGAATCAGTTATGCTCGTTATGTCTTCTGGAGGTATAAAGAGAAAAAATTGATGACCATAACCTAATTTATAGGAATCATATGGTGCAAAATTTAAAGAAAAATATTACGTAAGTTTTTCCATGTACTTTGTAGAGCATATTTTACATCTTTGTTTCTTAAACTGTAGATCAAGGGATTCAACATGGGGATAACCAGGGTGTAAAAAATGGAAGCCACTTTATCAGTGTCAGAGGATTGACTAGACTTGGGCTGCACATACATGAAAAGCAAAGTCCCATAGAACACTAGGACCACCGTCAGGTGGGCTCCACAGGTGGAAAAGGCCTTGTGTCTGCCCTCAGCAGAATTCATCCTGAGAATGGCTACAAGGATGAGCAGGTAAGACACAAGAACTAACAGAAGAGATGAAATCAAATCAAAAGCTGCAAAGATTGAAATTATCAATTCAACTTCGTGAGTATTGGAGCAGAGTAAACGTAACAAAGGGAGACAGTCACAGTAGAAATGACTAATGACATTGTAGCCACAGAAGGGTAAAGTAAAAATCTTTAAGGTGACTAGGAGAGAAATGAATGTGCAGTAGAGATAGGGGATTGCCACCAGCACCTGACATACCCTTTCTGACATGATTACTGTGTATGGGAGAGGGTTACAGATGGCCACATAGCGGTCAAAGGACATTGCTGAGAGAATAAAAAGTTCATTACCAATGAACACAAAAAAGAAAGCCAGCTGTGTTGCACAAAAATAATAGGATATTGTATTCTTATCCACAATAAAATTTACTAACATTTTGGGTCCCACAGCTGTTGAATAACCAAGATCAGTGAGTGACAGGTGCCTGAGAAAAAAGTACATAGGGGTTTGCAGCCTGGAGTCCAACTTGGTGAGGATGATCATCCCCAAATTGCCCATCACTGAGATCACATAGATCATGAGGAACAATGCAAATAATGGTGCCTGCAGCTCAGGAATATCTGTGATTCCCATGAGAATGAATTCATTCACCACTGTTAGATTGTGGTTTTCCATCCAGGTTCAGCAGAAAACCTATTCTGGATAGAGACATCAACATAATCAGTATCTTTTCTTTATTATCTCCTGAGAAATGTTTTAGTATGTAAAGTTAACATAAGATATATATAAATTTCACTGTTTGCGTCATTTGAAAACAAACATATCTCTCACAAATAAAAACACATTTCAATATAATTCAAGATAGAGATAAGACAGGTCAGCAGTTTTCATTTGGTTTTGATTTTACTCATCCAATGACATTTTGTAATATCTAGAGACATTTTCTTTTTAACAATTTGGAGATGGGCTACTGTTGCATCTAATTGTTAGAAGCCAGTAACCTGCTAAACATTCTACTATAATTAATACTGAGCCCATCCGAATAATCAGTCTCAAATATCAATAGTGCTAATGTTGAGAAACTCTGATTATATACATGAATAGATGATAGATAGATAGATAGATAGATAGATGGATAGATAGATTATGGATGATCATATAGATTCATATGAGAGAGAGAGAAAGAGATACAGATAGATATTCATGTCTGAATAGATATATAAAGAAAATTTTTAAAGTTAAAAATGTTAATACTGTGGATATTTGATATATGAACAATTCTTGTACTATGTTTTTAGAGATTGGTCATATTTATAGATTACAATTACTATTATGACATAATATAATTTTAGTTATATAAAACATTTCTGTCACAAATTTCAAAAGTGCATAAAACAATAGGCTTTAAAATGTCATCCAGTGACAGCTCTTTGGGTGGTACAGCTGAGACTTTAATATATTTGAAAGATCTTAGGCATATGAATAAAAGCAGCTTAACAGATAACAGTGGCAATTATTTGTATTTACCTAGCAAAAAATATCAGGAAATGTATGGATATCGATATATTCTACAACTGTATCTTAATATATGCCATGTTTGAAAATTTACTTTAGGCAAATAGTGTAAGTTATCTAAAACTATTTGTTCTTATATCCAGAACCAACATGTCCCTGCAGAATTGTTAGAAAGGATGAGTGAAGGTTAAGTGATTCAATGTATCTGTGCTGCCTAGAAGTAGTTCTAAAATATCAAGCACATTATGAGTTTTCTTCTTCTTGTTATTTAATTGTGACAGTGCTTTACTTGAAAGAGGTTTTCTTTGCATATTTACATATAAATTATGACTGCGAATTAACTTCTTTGCTAGGATCATAATGATGCCTAGGTGGGTTACAGGTCAAGTAGGATGTAATACTTGCAATTTTGGTCAGTTCTTCTCCACTCCCCCAATTCAAGACTGAACTTGGGCAATTGGTATGCTATTTTTGTGGATTACTTTTCTATTTTTCAGAATTTTAATAACATTTTAAATAAATTATTTTGACATAAACTTTATTAAACATTAATCTTCCCATAGTTTTATTCTCATTATTGAGAAATACTCTCTTGAATGTAAACTTCGATTTTATTTTATCATACAAAATCTTAGGGGATTTTAAGGACATCTGAACAAATCGGGAGATAATATGGCCCTCAAATTGGTTTTGTATAATGAAAATTACTAAAAGCTCTTTTTGGATAAAGGGATACTATAGATTAGTGAAAAGAAATGATTAAAAGTCACTTTATTACGCAATTACATAGACACAAAATAAATACACAAAACATGAGATATACATGGATTTCTAGTTGTGATTTGAAATCCTTCTGGACATGCTGGTTACAGAAACTAGAAAATAGAGCATAATACATAATGCAAATAAACATATATATAATCAAATAAATGTATATCTAAATATCCCCAATAACTCACAGATTTAAAATATACTAGAGCATGAGATGGAAGGCATGATAATGTAAGATAATTATTATTGGTTAAAAAAATTGTAAGCCCCAATGTTTCCTGAAAAAAAAAGGAAGAAAGAAAATAGTGTTTACAATGAAAATCATAATAATCATAATTTTCAGAGTTAGCTATGAAAAATAAACACACACAATTTTGTCACATTAAGTATAAAGAAGATTACATATAATTTGAACTTAAATTGATTTTTTAAAATAAAATTGTGACCTCCTTCTATCCTACCCTGACTCAATGAACATATTTTTCTTATATTACATACATGCTAATGTTTGCCAGTAGATAGAAATGTTATGTAAATATCTTTAGGAAATATGATGATAAGCAGCATAAATCTTGTATTTTGTTTGCTTGTTTTGTACAGTTTGGCAATCCAGAAAGGCAAAAAAATAATATCATCATTTTTAAGTCCCTATTTTCTTGTTATGTAAGGAAACATAAATGAGCTTCCTTTCACCATCTTTGGAGTTCTCTAGAAATAACCAGATTGCTTTTTTTATATTTTGGTATCTTTGTTGAATATCAATTATATATATATATATATATATATTTTTTTTTTCCCATTTATTTATTTTATTGCATTTTACGTTTTGGGGTACATGTGAAGAACATGCAAAATTGTTGCATAAGAACACACGTGGCAGTGTGATTTGCTGCCTTCCTCCCCATCACCTACATCTGGCATTTCTCCCCTTGCTATCTCTCCCCAGCTTCCCACCCCCCACCATCCCTCCCCTATTTCCCCCCAACTGACCCCAGTGTGTAGTGCTCCCCTCCCTGTGTCCATGTGCTCTCATCGTTCAACACCCGCCTATGAGTGAGAACATGCGGTGTTTGATCTTCTATTATATTTTTTAAAACTACAATCTTTGAGAAAATAATATCTGCTTTTGTCAACTCTTAGTGGAAATTGAAGTACATTCTGAAAATTGTATTGTGCCATAAAACTGGGTACTTAACAGTCTCCTAATTTTATTTTCTACAGTTTTGAATGTTTTTTTCTGTGCATACATTTACTCAAAAAGCCTCATAAGTTTAACAATTATTTTCATATTCTAATGTAAGGTAGAAACCCCCTTTTTGTCTCATCAAGAAGTGATGAATCATATCTACACATGTATTTAAATAATCAGTGAGTGTTAAATTACTGTTAAGGTATCTAAGAGCCTAGAGCATGTGAATAACAAATATTTGGAAGGACATGAACGTGAGTGACTAAATAGTTGCAGTTTCTTCATTCTTTCACTAAAAATATATTTATCTCCTTGTAGTTGTGCTTTGTTTCCTCCAAGTTTTGGCCTCAATTAGAGAAAAATATTTTATGCAAAATAAATACTTTACAAACAATATCATGATGGTGCTTTAAAGATGCTTATGAGCATTCAGCCTGTTAAACCATGTAAAATACCTACAAAATTATATGAAAAAACGGAGCACTGTTATTTCAGCTCAGGCATTATTGAGTAAAAGAAATCCTAGAGCAATGAATCAGAGATTGTCACACTTTACTATGGTTATGTCATCAAATTAAAGTGGCAGTTTGCCAATATCACTAAAGCATTGTATATATCTGTAATATATGGCACCACAAGAAACATTCTTACTTTTTTTTTTTTTTTACCTGTAATGAAGCCTCTCTCTTGACTCCTCCATGTGTCTCTAACATGGCACAGTGAGAACAATTTATCAATTTTTTAATCTTTTGAGACTCTCCCTGAGGAGATGGAAGGCAATTTGTTGATAATCTCTAAAGCATGTAAGAGCATAGCAAAATGTTTTGAGGCTGTGCATTTGCTGTAGAAGACAATTTGTATTCACTAGTATATCAGAGTTCTCCAGAAAAACAGAATGAAGAGGAGCTGTTTAGATAATTGATAGATAGATACATGGATAGAGATTTATTATGAGAAATGGTTTTATGCAATTATGTAGGCTGATGATTTCTGTAATTTGCTGTCTTTAAGCTCCAGGAAAGCTGGTTGTGTCGTTTCAGTTAAAATTTGAAATATTGGGAGCTAGGGGAGCCAAGGGTGTAGATCACAGTCTGATTTAGAAGGCTCTAGAATCTGGGATGTCAATGTCTGATGGCAGGAAAGGAAGGATGTCCTAGCTTAAGCAGGGAGTGAACTCACCATTTCTCTTTTTGTTCTATTCAAGGCCTCAATTGACTGCAGTGATGCCCACCTATATTGGTGAGGATGATCATTATTTTGCCTGCCAATTCTTCCTCTTCCAGGAGCATCCTCACAGGGACACCCAGAAATAATGTTTACCAGCTATCAGGACATCATATAGCCTAGTTAAGTCAGCACCTTAACCATCAATACTCTATCCTTTGTCAACTTGGCAAACATAAACATGTACTTAAATCACACATAGTCTCTAAACATAGACAATAACAAGGTCATAGTTGTGCTTTACATGACACAACTATCCTGCATGTAAATAATAACTCACTAATCCCTTATTCCAAAGAGGAAATATATTTTTTAAGTGATATTGACTCTTCTCCTGATGTTCTTAGAGTAAAATTTTGTAATGTAAAATTAACAACATTTAAATATTGATATAAAGTTCACATATTCTATTTATATAGTAAGGGAATAAAAGAGAGAATAAAGTATCTTTACTTAATAAATATGTGCACATATTTATAATAAAAATAAGGTTGAAATTCTCATTACAATCGCAGGCCTCATTTCTGTAACTGGCCACATGATTATAACTGCTATTTATAACTATCTTCTATCCGTACTGTTTTCCCTTTGTCTTTAGCAAGCATCTTAGCTGCTCATGGGTTTCTTCCTTGTGAAGTGACCCAAACATTTATTCCTGAAGAGTTTAGGCAATTAGCAGTTCTGGCTAGTTTGGGCTATTACTGTTTTCCATTAATAAGAAATTCCCTAAGGGACATCTCATATTCCAGACTTATTCTTCCTTGTATTGTGAAGTCATCACCCAATTTTCCCTGGAAATTCAGGATCAATTATGATAAATTCCTGCTTTGTCTATTGATTCAGTAGCATGAGGAGCTCAAAATGGCTGGGTAAAAGTCTAAACTTCCAATTCTATAGAATTATTACTACGTCTCTAGTTGGAAGCATTCATTCCTCTGTGACTAAGACCTGTAGGCTGCAAAGCTTAAAGTCAATGGAG